AAACATTTGTCCTTTAAATGCAATACCATTTCATTGAAACAGAAACAAATATTTTTCTCTGTAGTGCCAATAAGCTTAGTTGGAAAACAGTATATGAGTGTACGGATTGCTATGAAATAAGTGACTCATCTAATCATTTTCGAACCACTGTATTGGTTAGAGCCAGAGCCTATCCCAACAAGCAATGGGCACAGGGCAAGAAATACCCTGGACAGGATGCCATTCCATCACAGGGACCCTCATACACACACTCTCACTAGGACCAGTTCTCCCAGAAGCCAGTAAACCTACCAGTATGTCTTTGGACTGCAAGAGGAAAGTCACACAAACAACAGGAGAACATCAACACTCCAGGGAGATAGCACCCCAGGAATTGAATCCAGGACCCTAGAACTGGAAAGCACACACCACTGCACCACCATGCCAGTGCTGATTTTATTTAATGAAACAGAGCTGCCTTAACAGGTGAGGAGTTGGTACCGCTGAAACAGTACATGGCATGAGCTTCTTTCACCCCACATCAACATTTTCAAGATGGCAGCCTAGACAGAGTAGTGTGACATCTAAGTATTATAGTGGGTATGCTGGATGTCAGCTGCTGGCAGCAGGGTGGACCAGTGCACAGAGCCCTGGACTCATGAATGAAAGGAACTCCCAGGTCCCAGCTGAGACACTACTCTTGTACCTTTGAGCAAGATACTTCACCTGAATAGGTCTAATGAAATACCCAGCTCTATAAATGGGTGACGATTAAACTTGCTTTAGTCTATAGTGTCAACTGAATAAATTAGTAAGTTCTAGTCATTTATGGTTGCACTAGCAGAACTCAAAATCTTGTACATTTTAAGGGTTAAGGACAAATACGGCTAATCATTTGCTAATAAAGGTCTCGTGCAAAAAAAAAATATGCGAGTCCTTCTTGGAAGATCTTGTAAATAGACATACAATCCATATTTTTCTCATCACTTTTGGGAAACCGAACAGCACTGCCCAACCATCAGATCCCCAAAACCCAAACCCAAAGACTTAGAAAAGACAATAATCTCACATGTATAATAATTTCACATGTAAAAAACAAAAGTAACATCCTTCCTCCCATGCAATATTCAGTGAGATCTGATGAATCCCCTGTCTGTTAAAATACAGGGTGTCTCAAGATTACCAGATCAGGGATTTCAAGTAAGGTAGAGGCAACTGACTTGACTTCTCAATTTCAATGGTGTATTTTATTGAAAGCCTATACATTAGTCACACCCCACTGCCTCACAAAAGGTACTGAAGGTACTGTAACTGGGTAGCTGAGTTCAGTTGTAGGCGTTTCTATGGAT